TTATCTATTTATGTTTTTGTTTCTCTTTCACGATTTGCTTTAGTTAAGAGACATTTTTCAATCACTCTTTCTTTATTCCTCTCTATTTTTTTCCTCTTCGATCTATGGGCAAGGTGGCCATTGTAGAAGTTTTCTTTTATATTCTTTTTTTCTTTGTTTTTTTTTTCTTCTGATATTCAAATTAAAAAGTTACTAAATTGATTATTAAAATGTGACAAGTCCACGACTTTTTTTCTTTTATTTTTATTTTATAATCACACCAACGATTTTATTTTGCTTTTGTTCTCTCGATAGATTGATTTCATATTTCCAGCCCCTGCAGATTATTTGTGATATTTATTTCGTTCACTCATTCTCGCAATTCTATATAATGCCCAAAACAAATCATATGAACTGAAATGCACTATTTAGTTATTAAGTATCCTTCTGGCAAGAATTATCCTATTTTTACTTATTTCACGTTAGTTAATGTTAGTCCTTTTTGTTACACTTGAAGGTTAAATTTTAAAAATTGTTTTGTTTATCCGTTTTTATAATAAGCTCGAGAACACGTCTGAACCTCGGCAGAGGCCAAGTAATTCTCCCCTCTATCTTAGAAACAAAAAACGGACAGACTTCTCATCCCTGCTCAATTCTTCTTTTCTTCTTTCTGTTGCTCTCTATAGCGGCTCGCCGCTACTCTCGCAAAAGCAAGCAAAATCCGCCAAGATCATGCGACTTTGCCTATTCTTGTAAAAGCAAACAAAAAAGAAAAAAAGAATGTCGCAAAATCACATGATTTTGCCTGTCTTAATGAAAGGGACAAGAAGAAAAGAACAAAACAATTATATCCCGCAAGATCATGCGATTTATAAACGGTACCACAAAATCACACATATGCCGTTATTGCGATACTTGCGGTTGACACGGACCGACAGACACCCTACCCAAGGTTTGTTCGCGGCCGTTATACAGTTTTTATAATCTATAGCTATTATTTTTATAAATCATTTTAGTCACAAAAACTGGAACAAGATATTCACTGCGGTTGCAAAAAGTTTACGTCTTCCTTTAAAATCTTTTCATCATTTTTTCTGCAGATAGTGATGTTGTGATGGGTAATAATGATGGTGCGATGTCTACGTATAGTTCGCTATCAAATTGAAAGAAGCAGAACCCAAAAACTTGACACAGGTCTCCGTTGCGGAGGTTATAGGGCGAGATATAACAGCCTGTGAGGGTTCAATGACAAGACGTTGCTCGTATAAAAGGAAGGACCCAGTAGCTGGTTGACAGACGAGATAGCCTAACTAAGGGCTCAACGTAAGAGAGCGAGGCGTGTCCACCAAAGATCGAGGGAGACTAGTGTTTATCTCAGCCACTAGGAAAAGTTTAAACTCAGGTGAAGGCTATCTAAAAAAGTGATCGCGGATAAAGGGATAAAGGGATCAGTCCTAGGCTTTACACTGTGGAATGTAATGTACGACGATATCTCGAGACTACCTTTTCTAGAGGAAGAATCCATCCTGGGGTTTGCTGACGATATTGCGGCAACTATCGTGGTAAAAACTTTCGAGGGAAGAGGTATTATCTCGAGAAGAGGTATTAATTTCTTCTTGGAAGAAGATTGACAAAGTGACTATCTAAGCGGGAAATACGAGTCACAAGACGCCATTAAATACCCAGGGATGATGATCGACCACACACTTTCGTTTAAGCGGCATCTGCAGTACAGGAGCGAAAAAGCAGCGGAGGTTGAAAAGTCGCTGGCGCGCTTACTGCTAAACTTGCGGGGCCATAGGCAAGACCGTAGATAGCTGATCGCGGACAATAACGTATAGCTCTTCGGTGTGGAAAAAGGCCTTCGATATACCGTCATACGTGACAGGCATCCAATCACCATACCGACTATGCGCTCTAAGAGTGTATATCGGACAGCGATGAAAGATACGGCTTTGGTTATCGCTGGCATGATACCAATCGACTTACAAGCGAAAGTAAATATGTATAGGGCTGAACTTCACAGATTGACGGCTGAAGCGGCTAAGCAGCGAGCGAAACAGCGACTGGTGGAAGACTGGTAGAAGCGCTGGAGCAGAGTGAATAGGGGTAAATGGATGCAACGGCTCATACCAGATCCGCGGGCCTGTCCTTTTATTTGATACAGCTAATTAGCGGCCTTGGTTGCTTTAGATCATATTTGTATAGGTTTAAAATAGAGCAGGATCCATGTTGTATTTTTTGTCAGTGCTTAGAAGACGCTGAACGTGATTTCTTTGTCTGGCCAAAATACCATAGCGAACGACAGAGACTAGAGATGAAAATTGGAGTGTTACCTCTCCCCGACAATCTCGTTGCAAATCTGTTGCACAACCTGAAAACATGGAAGGCGGTAGAACTATTCGCCGCAAACGTTATGAAAAAATAAAAATTCGAGGAGAGTCAGTGTAGGGTTTTAGGTAGTGCTTAAACGGCTACTCGCCCTGTGACGGTATACTAAGCGGTCGTGCCAGGAAAATAGGAGTGGTGGTTCTTAGCGGGTTAAAGTCGCGCACTGCTCCGATGGGCGCTTGTTGATAGTTTTCCACCTAACAAAACAAAAAAAGAAAAGACGCGTACACACAATTAAGCACGAAATAGCACGAAATTTGTGTGCTATTGATATCTAAAAAGAGCATATAAGCTAATTAAGGAGTAGTTTAAATAAATCGTGAGTTCAACTGTAAGGAATTGTAAGACAAGAAGAACAAAAACTTAAAAGTAATTGCAGCGATTAACTCATTTTGAAGAAAGTACATTTTGCACGCTGTCATATGCGAACTTAATGGTGTTAAACATCGCACACAAAGCAACGGTACTAACGGATAACGAGACACGCCGACAGGATTATATTATTCTTGACTTTAAAATTTTTTCATACAATTTATATATATAGAAAAAAAAGAAAAAAAAATGTAAGTGTAGCTGGGGTGGTGAGGCAGCAAAAAGCCGAAACCCAGCTTCTACATACACATCGCATTTATAATGAATACAAGGTGAAGATCAACATAGGGGAGGAATGAGTAGATTAGGTAGCTACCCTTCTCAGATGACAATAGATTTGCACAGTCCGGAAGTTATTTCGATTTCCAATGACAACGAAGACAATCTTGGAGCCTCGTCGACAAAAATTTCTCAAATTTCTTAAAGTCCGGAATTAAATTGGGCAAACGTCTCCCAATCAGGAGAATAACCAAATGGCAGTTATTTCAAAATGGGGCTCCGGACTACGATCCTCGATATTGGTCTCAGGCATATTCCAATGAAGACGTAAATTATGACCATTATTTCGATGACTGTTTCGACAATGAAATTTTGAATATTAATATACCCCAATCACAACAGATTACCAGTCTTCTTTAAACGACCGTCTCAATGATGAAATTCTTGAAATTAATGTGAGCTGCATTTAATTTATAAAAAATAAATTATAAACTGAGTTTTGCTCAGTTGCTTGATTGGAAAATGAAGTAAGTGATCAATATTAACAAAAAAAACAAAAAAGACATAGATAGCAGACAGAAATAAGAAACTTAGGAAATATCTTCACATAATTATTCTAAAATCTCATATGTTTAACAGAACTGCAGACTCTTTACTCCAGCTACTTTGTTGCCGGTAGAGCATATATATTTTCCTGACAAAGAATAAAAAACGAAAAGGTCCCGTCGGTTGTCTACCGTTCGTCTGTCCGCCGTAAGTCAGTTTGTAGTCGTCTGGCGTCTGCCCCACATATGCATCCCCCCCCTTCTTTTCCTTTCAGCTACAGCAGTGGCAGCTGTAACGCTTAGCCACTCATCGGGGACATAAAAAAAGGAAGTAAACAGACTAAGATAACTTACAATATAATCCAATTGGCGCCGGTGTACTGTCTGCCTCTTTACCTGGTTAAATCGTTGAGTGCTGGACCCCGGGTTGTGGCCATACCTTTATGTGTTTCTCGCCTTTTTCCTTTTCTCCCCTCCTTCTTTTAAACTCCTTCACTTAGATAAAAACTTTAACTTCCAGTATTGTGTGTGTGCACGGGTGTACACGCAGTTGACAAGTAACAAACTGGAATCTTTTTCTGTTTTTTGTCTTTTATTTTTATTGTTATTTTTTTCTCTTAACAAGCAAGTTTACAATAATAATGTTGAAGAACCTTTGCAGTAATTTGGCAATAATAAAGTTTGGAAAATTTATGCACGACTTTTGCTTTTAGCCGCCTTTTTATCTGAAAAGGTATTTTTTTCCTTTAAAATGATAAACTATTTCATTCGTTGAACTCCTTTTTTTTTGGTAAGGATATCTTACGGAAATCAACAATTTAACATTAAGAAAAATTAATAAAGATTACACGACCATTTGTTTATAAATGTCCTCTTTTACCAATACTTTTCTACATTATCCACTTGATAAAACTTTTTGCTTCTTGTTTGACTAAAAATTCCGTATTGAAAGAAAGGTGCAGCCATTATTCTTGACTTGCTTCTCCTTCCTCTTCTTGTGCTTCTTTTAATTGTTCCACCTTTTTTTTTATTGTTTTTTTTTTGTTACTTCTTTTAATAAAAACGGTTTAGATTTCATTTTCGTAGTTTAATTTTAGTTAATTCCAACTAAAGTCACATTGATGTCATTCACTACAAAAAAAATCTTCACATTGGTTATTGTTAGTCCTTTTTATCACACTTGAAGTGATAATTTCAAAAAAATTATTTTTATTTATCCGTTTTATGAAAAGCTCGAAAATACGTCCGAACTTCACCAGATACCAAATAGTTCTCCTCTCTAACTTGAAATTAAAACGCAGACAGACCTCTCGTGCTTACTCAATTTCCCTCTTCTTCTTTCCGTTGCTCTCTCTATAGCGGCTTGCCATTACTCTCACACAAGCAAGCAAAGATCCCGCAAAATCATACGATCTCTTACCTATGCTTGCAAGAGCAAAAGGAAAAAAAAAGGAGTACCGCAAAATCATACGATTCTGCCTGTACGTTATGCAGTTTTTACAACAAATGCAACAGCAAACGCAGCAACAAATGCGACAACAAACGCAAAAAATGCAACAAAAAAGCGAACAGTTAGAATCAAAAATTGAAGAGAAAATATTGGAAAATCAACGCATCCTGCGAACACATATAAATGAAACGTATCAGCAGTTCGAAGGCAAAGTTAACGTGCTGCAAGAAAAAGTTGATAATTTGATAAGCCAGTTGAATGCCGTGAAAAGTGAAATAAAATCCCAAAAAAAGAAGCGGCTAAGCGGCAAACTAATGACGTAACCACCAGCTCTATCAAAGTAAAAACACCCCTATTTGACGGCAGCACTAACTTCAACGCATTTCAGCTACAATTTGATGTTGTTGCAACAAAAAATTTGTGGGATGACGACGATAAAGCAGTCGCCTTAATAACTTCCTTGAGAGGAGCAGCAGCGGAAATTATCCAGATAATCCCGGCAGAAAAAAAGAACGGAATTTGCTGCAATTATGGATGCACTGGAAAGGAAATATGGTAGCAAACAGGAGGTAAGCCGCCTAGAGTTGTGGTCGCGATGCCAGAAGCTGAACGAGAGGGTCGCAGATTATGCCATCGAGATCGAACGCCTAGCCAATCTCGCGTATATCGATGTGCCCAAAGACGTGCTGAAAAGATTACAAATCCACGTCTTTGTTAAAGGACTTCGTGACACGGAACTTAAAAAAGATGCATGGACGCTACCTAAAACGACGTTTACGGAAACGCTTAGCTTCGCGGTTGCACAAGAAACAGCTAGTTTGCTGTGGACATCAAGCATGAACGTGAGACGCACGGAAGTAACCGGCGGTAGCGATAATTTGGATGTGGTCTGCGCGGTGCTACGATAGGTCCCGCGCTAAAATAGGCAAGTACCGGCTTCAAAACATGCAAGTGTTATGTCTGCCAAAAACCTAGTCATTTTGCACGGGACTGTCGATCAAAACACAAAAGAACACACTCCACATCACCTACACGGAATATTAGTGAAGGTGCTAGCAAGATATCCAACGAACAGGCGTTAAACTAAAAAGAGTCAGCACAGCGGTGCAACGGCTGGTTAAGAAATTTAGTAGCCCTAGGATCGTTATTACTCAAGCAAAGAGAAGTAACAGCAGCCTAACGATCGATGGAAAAATCCAGGGCTATAACTACATCACCTAGATGGACACTGGTGCTTCTCATTCAATTATCAACAGTACAGCAGTCAAACAAAAACTCGAGCCGGGAACACGGTTACGAACAGCATCAGGTGAGGAAGCTGCTGTTAAAGAAGAAGTTATGAGAAACAATTCAATTAGCGGTGTTTCGATGAAGCATGAAATTCTGGCAGCGGAAATAATGAACGAGGTAATATTGTTGATGGATTTTATGAAAAAGCACGGCTTCGTACTGGATATGAAAAGGCAAGTATTACAATACGCTAATATGACTTTGCCATTGATTTGGGATACGACAGACAAGCCGAAATATTACAAGTTACAGTACAACGACAACAGAACAGATCCCTCCAAACTCCGAAGCAATAGTGTTGGCCACAGTTATCCAAGAGCTAAGGCTAAGCAAAATATGGGTTGTCGAAACGAATAAGGAATGTACGAACGACAACCTCATCACTGGAAAAGCAGTTGTCTCACCGGTCAACAATCTAATACAAGTACGGGCATTAAACCCAATCAGGGTTACAACAAAACTTCACAAAGGGGACATTATAGCGCAAAGCCGAAAAGCCGAATATGTTGTAAATCATCAAGCCGAAATACCAAAAGCATGCTCAAAGATATCCCCAGAGGCTGAAATTCTCATAAAAAATTGGACTAGCAACAGAAGAAATATGCCAACAATTTTTAGCTGGAAAATTGGTCCATCTTTGCCGGCGGTACGAATTCGGATGATCGTACTAATGCAGCGAAGCATATAATCAACGCTGCAGGAGCTGATCCGATTCGGCAATGGCCTAGAGGAATTCCACTGGCAAGAAGACGAGAAGCGGCGGACTTGATCAGAGATATGCAAGAGCGAAAGATTATCGAACCATCGAATAGCCCTTGGTGTTCGCCAGTAGTTCTTGTTAAAAAAAAGATGGGTCTACCAGATTTTGTGTGGAACATAGGAAGTTGAATGAAGTGACCAAGAAAGAAACCTACCCTTTGCCTAGGATCGACGACACGTTAGACAAATTGGCAGATTCGCAATGATTCTCAACCTTAGATTTGAAGTGTGGGTGCTGACAGGCGGAAGTCGCCGAAAATGACAAAGGAAAAACCGGGTTTTCCGCTGACTATGGCTTATATCAGTTTACCGTAATGCCGCTTGGTTTATGTAATGCGTTTGCAACATTTGAGCGCTTAATGGACCGCGTGCTAAAAGGGCTGCACTGGAAGACATGCGTGGTGTCTTTGGATGACATTACTATCATGGGTAAAGATTTCAAGGAACACCTAAAAAATCTGATAGATACTTTTCACCGATTACGGGTAGAAGGTTTAAAATTGAGTATCGAAAAATGTATGTTCTTTGAGAAGGAAGTGACATATCTTGGGCACAAGGTCTCCACGACTGGAATTCGCAGGGATGAAGAGAAAATCAGAGCAGTAAAAGAACGGCCACGAAGTTCGCAGTTTCCCAAGACTATGTACATACTACCGCAGATTCATTCCCTGGTTCGCTACAATTGCTAGTGGATTGCATGACCTTACGAACAAAAATCGACCCTTTATGTGGAGGGAGCTCCAAGAGCACGGATTCACGCGGTTAAAAGAGCTGTTCTTCGCAGCACCCATTTTAGCTGATCCAGTACCAGGAGAAAAATTTATATTGGATACCGATGGAAGTGCAGAAGGCTTGGGCAGTGTACTCACCCAGCAAATTGACGGCAACAAAACGTTCATAACATATTACGGCAAGCGCCTATCCAAACCCGAGAGGAATTATTGTGTTACGCGGCGGGAACTGCTATCAATACCGCAATCTGTCAAGCACTTCCACAAATAGCTGTATGGGCAACAATTTCACCTAAGGACAGATCATGTCACTCTATGGTTACTCTACTTTAAAAAACCAGAAGGACAATTGGGCAGCTGGATCGAAAAACTGCAAACTTGCCAATTCTCGATTTCCCATCGGAGCGGAAAATCGCATGCGGATGCTATGTCCAGACGTCCTTGCGGCCCGCACTGCTAACACTGCGTAAGGAACGAGAATCAAGGAGGTGTCGCCATCTGCCGGACTGTTGTGGAGCCCAACGGAGGCTTTTCGAAGGAAGACATGCGCAGTACTCAAATGGCTGACGAAGGTTTAAACGTAATAGTAAATATCATAGAAAAGGAAGAGCGTCCTACCTGGGAAGAGAGTTCAAGAGAAAGTCCTATTACGAAGGCTCAGTAGTAAAGCCTCATTATTGAAGATGGGTACTTACGGCGCAGATGGCATAGTGAGCTAAGAAATTACTGGTGATCCCAGCGAGAACTCGTGAAATTATAAGGGAATAACACAACGGACCAAGCGGAGGGCATCTTGGCATCACAAAAACCGTGGAAAAGATCATGCAAAATTTCTGTTGGGTGGGCATCAAGGATTCCGTAGCTGCATGGATTCGCAACTGCGATCAGTGCAGCCAATCGAAAGGCCCGAAAAGTAAGCCACGAGAACGCTTGCAGCAATATAACGTGGGTGCACATTTCGAAAGAATCGCAATGGATATTGCTGGGCCATTTCCAGCGAGCAATGCAGGAAATAAATACGTACTGGTAGTCATTGATTACTTCAGTAAATGGTCGGAAGTGTACCCCTTAGCTAACCAAGAAGCAAAGATAATAGCCAAAGTATTCGTTAATAATTGAGTTACGCGGTTTGGAACCTCCATCGAGATGCATTCAGACCAAGGTAGGAACTTTGAGTCTTCGATCTTTCAAGAGGTTTGCCAAATATTTGGCATTAATAAAACTAGAACGACTCCGTTCCATCATCAGCCTGACGGAATGGTCGAAATTTTATTCGAACGCTCCAAGAACATCTGCGGAAAGTGGTTGACGACAATCAGCAGGACTGGGATGAACACCATACCAATCTTTTTAACGGCATACAGGTAAGCAGTGCACAACACCTCTCCTCTACCCCTGGCACAGATTTTGTTCGGATCTAATCTGAGGTTACCCGCAGTCGTGAAATTCGGGACACCCCCTAATGTCCAAAGGACCGGAACCGAATATGTTGCTCGATTGGGAATGATATTGGACAATATGCACCGACAGAGTCGACAGGATAACTGGGAAGATCCGTACAAAATCATCAGAAGGATAAATGATGTGGTCTATCGAATACGAAAACATCCCGGAGGCAGAACTAAATTCATGGTGGTACACCTGGATCGATCGACGGCCTGTCGAAACGACCTTGTTCGGGACGAACAAGATTAAGTGGAGGGTAGTGTTACGGAAATTCCACATCCCGTTCATTCCAGCTAAATAATAAAACCCCTAAAAAGAGAAAAACTAAATGCACGTTCGCAGCATGCAGCTGCCGGCCGAGCAAAACGACTACCAGAAAAGCAGATTAACGAATTAAAAATAAAACTGTATAATTAGGTACTAGTAATATGATGGTAAAAATGTATATAAATAGAATATTTGTGAAAGACAGAAGTAGCAGAAAGAGAATATTTGAGTTAAGCAGTCGAAAGTATTACCCAAAACAAATTGTGAATAATCCTACATTCAAAGAAATATAATTGTAAATAAAAGAATTTTGGAATGTATTTTTCTTGAACAAAATATCCACGATCCAGTGATACGGGCTGTATCTTACAAAAGCGAATTTTATAACGGTATATTTGGCACCTTTTGGACTAACTTTAAGTATGGAGATATCCTTCATAGTAGCAATATTAAGGTTATAACACTCTACGCTTTTGAACTCAAAACACTTGCTTTTTCCATTCAACGGCAAAACACGAAGACGTCTTAAAATATTATCTTCAACGCGAGGTTATATCGATATAAATAAAAAATGGTGAACATTCCGGCGTTATTTCTGGAGGTGTATAAGTTTCGATATTGACATTATTTTAAAACAATTCAGGTATTCTAAGTTCCTACTGATCAATTTTTTTTTTTTTTTTTGACTTTGCAGTGACCAGACGTGTATTCCCTGTTGTGCGGAGAAAAATTATCGATTGATTGTGATTGTGTTCAATTCATTACCACAACAAATAATAAAGAGGAAAAGCTTTGTTTATATTGTGTTCCGTAAAGATTTCATAAAGGAA